ATCTGACTGTGTACACTCTTCACCTGGTACTATCCACCCCCCACCTGGCACTGTCCACCCCCCACCTAGCACTGTCCACCCCTCACCTGGCACTGTCCACCCCTCACCTGGCACTGCCCACCCCCACCTGGCACTGTCCACCCCTCACCTGGCACTGCCCACCCCCACCTGGCACTGTCCACCCCTCACTTGGCACTGCCCACCCCCACCTGGCACTGTCCACCCCTCACCTGGCACTGTCCACCCCCCCACCTGGCGCTCTGATGAGGGCCTGGATGCCTTGCTCACTCATCTGTCCTTAGACGAGAGCCCCTTCGAGATCCTGCACCCCGTCCTCATCTGCTGCTCCCCTCTTTTTCCTTCATCAAGCCAACAGGAAGTGTCTGCTGTCTGACGAGTTCGCCCAGCTCAGAGCCAGGACTGGGGGCTCTGAGAAAGCAGGAACCACCTCTCCCACGGAGCGTGGAGCACCGGTCCTGTGGCTGTTTAGAAATGTTGTTGTTGTGTGCTGTTGAGTCAACAGACTCACACCTGACCCTCCAGCAGGTTTTCAGAGGTGATTTGAGCAGCTGGGGAATTCGGACAGCTGGCCTTTGGGCTGCCAGAGCGACTCCTAACCTCCTAGGCCACCAGAGCTCTGTGTGCTTAGAACTGAGTGGAATTTAATGGCAACAAATGGCGCTGAGATGAACCGGAAGAAGATTCTGTCGAGTTGCACACGGGCCTTCCTTATCTTTTGCTCCCCTCTCCCGTAACTGGGTGCAGGGAGGGAAGTGGCCCCACTCCTTCCTGTCGTTAGGGGTGCAGTTAGGGCTTTGAACTCACTGAGCCACAAGCTGGGCCTGAGGCTTGTCAGTCCTGAGTCCCAGCGGTACCAGCTGAGGCTGTTGTCCCACTGCCCTGTCCCCACACTTTCTCAGGTGGAGCTGGAAGGATGGGGGTGGGGACAAGCTCCTGAAGGGGAAGGTGCCCTAGGGCCAATTGGGAGATGGCAGAGAATGGGGTGGGAAGGAAGAGGTTCTGTGCTCTGACCCCATAGTCCTCGTCACATACTGGGGTCTCTCTCACCCTTCTCCTGTCCAAGCCGTTCCTCTCACCATAAACACCCAATATGGTGGCGCTGGAAGGACTTGAGTAACGGGTAAGCCTCAGCCCAGAGACATTCAGAGCCCAAGTTCATTGGGTAAGTGAATCTGGCCAAGTTCTTATTAAGAGCAGTGTGTGTTTGCCTGACCGCTCATTCTCACCCTGGAAAAACCAAAGAGCCCACCAATCTGAGAACTGGTCCTGCAGAGAGCCCGCCCGGGGTCTTTCCCTTACCTGGCCCACCATCCAGGAACCCCAGGAGGGGCAGGGGGTGAAGTGGGGACTGGCTGAACCTCTCTCCTGATCTCCCACAGAATATGCCCTGGTGTCCCCACAGGAGAGGGTGAGGCAGTGAGCTTGGGCCATCTGTCCCTGCTCGGGACACAGGCTTGCTGGAGACTTTCTGGTCAACTCCTTTGGACGACAGTTCCCAAGACAGAGCCCCTCAGATTCTGACCCCCAGGGTCGGGTGGTGACACTTGCCTCAACTGGGCATGAGAACTCTGCCCTGTTCAGCTTCCTCTCTTCGCACTCCTCTCATCCTCCCCAGAGCAGATCAGCTACGTGCCCCAGCTCTCAAATGCCACCCTGGGGGCGAAGCTCACACAGTCCACCTTCACCCTTGAGCAGCCGATGGGCCAGTTCAGTCACCTCAAAATCTCCGACTTTGATGCCATCTGGCTAGTGGTGGCTCACAGCAATGGTTGGTATGCTGGAGCAGTCTTGGATTTTCCTTCCGTGAAAAGGGTCCACAGGTCTGGGGCCGTCAACAGAACTATGTGAGGGTGGGGGACTGTTTGCTTTGGTGGAATGAGGGTAGAGTCCTGCCTGTTGGGCTCCCACCATCTAACCCTCGGTGCTACCCTCAGCCACCCAGGACTTCACGGCCCCACAGAAGCCGGAGGACTTTCCTGCCCCCGCTGACCTGCCCCAGAAGGGCTACTACCTCACCATAAGGGCCAGACCGTCTCTCTACCTGGGCAACCAGACCAGCAACCAGCTCCGGGTCCTCCGTGTGGGCAACAATACCGTCTGCTCCCCAACTGCAAAGGGGTGCAACTACCCCCTGCCGGGCCCGGGCCCCTACCGGTGAGGGCCTGCATTTGGGCCCTGGCTGGGGTGTGGGGGTGACCGGGCTGCCCAACCCTGAACCTGAAAAGCTCTTGAGAGGTTCTTGCTCAAGATTCACAAATGGAAGGTTGGGCAGCAAGCAGGACCAGAGCGTGTGTGAATTCTCCGAGTCTCATGAGCAGAGGTCCTGTCCTTTGGGTCCCAGGCCCCCTGTGGCCGGTCTGCACCAACAGTGGCATCTCCCTATCCAGGATCAGCATTCCCCAGTCTCTGCCTAAGTGTGGGTGCCAAGAGATCTACCCAGCACCCACACAGTCCCCAGACAAGGACCTGAAGACTCAGAGGGGGTGGGCTTTCAGCCCTTGCTCCATGTCCACTCCTGATGTTGCCCTCAGGCTCTGGAAGTCAAAAGGACTTACTGTCAGGGTTTCAAAACTGGGGAATCCCCCCACCTCTCTTTCAGGGTCAAGTTCCTAGTGATGAGCAATGAGCGGGGGCCTTTGGCTGAGACAGAGTGGTCCAATGACACCCACCTGCTGCAAGGTACCAGCCTGCTGGAGCTGCAGGGTGCGGCAGGACTGGGGGCTCCGAAGGCCTGAGGTTGGGGGTAGGCCCTTCTGCGAGCCCTGTGGTCATCCTGAGGTCAGCAGGCACCTGGGACCCTTTCTCAGGTCACGCAGAACCTCCGTTCTTCTGTGCCTTTCAGCACAGACCCTCCAGGCCGTGCCAGGGCCGCGGACGGCGGGCACGGTGGTCCTCATCACCTTCCTGTCGGTGCTGCTGGCCGTGCTCCTCGCCGCCCTCCTGGCGCTGCTCGTTTACACCTGGTGAGTGACAGGGACTCCTGGGGTGCCTCTGCACCCCTCTCTTCTCCCGCCCTGGCTTCCTGCAACAGTTCTGGCCCAGGCCCCTCAGCTCAGCTCCACCTCCTGCCTTTGCTCCAAGGGTTTATGCTGGAGGGTAACAGTGTGTGAGAGGGGACCCCCCAATGTTCCAAAACCTCTGCACTCTGCGTTTATCCTCCCTGCTGAGAAGCTGCAGGGCTGGGGTTCATGCACGCTAACCCCTCATTTCTTGTCCACTTCTGTCCTCTGCATGCCCTTTAGGGGGTCACTTTCTGACTGTGTAACCCTCTCCCCCTGGTGGCCATAGGTGGCATTGCAATTGAGGGGCAGGAGATGTTCCCCCCAAAGTCGGACTAAGTACAGGGGCATAGCTTTCAGTCCCAGCACTGAGCTTTCGGAGAGAGCTCAGGCGCTGGGGCCCAGCAGAGAGGGGAGTAAAATAAATGGGCTTCAAAAAAGAAAAGAGGAACCTTGGCCTCAGAAAGGTGGGAGGAGGGGTCAGGGATAAGAGGGCTGGAAATGGCCAGGGTTCCTTGCTGGTCAGTTGAGGAACTAGGCAGAGGAACCCGATGGTGAGTTTTGTTCAGGGGAAACAGAGAACCCCTGGGTGTGTGAGGAGAAGGGGGTCAGAGAGTAGAGACCGAATGATGGCCGAGTGACGGGAGTTGTTGTTGTTATGGGTCCCGGGTCAAGTACGACTCATAGCGCCCCTATGAACAACAGACCTGACCCCTGTCCCATCCTGTGCCATCCTCATCGTCTCTGACACACTCGAGTCCTTTGCTACAGTCACCATGTCAGTCCGTCTCGTTGAGGGTCTTCCTCTCTTTCGCTGCCTTATATCCCCTCCCAAGGAATAGCCCCTCCTAGCAACCTGCCCCAAATACATGAGACGAACTAGATTACAGACTAGGAAGAAAGGTCTGGCAACTTACTTTCAAAAAACTGGCCGGTGGAAGTCTATGGAACACAGTGGTCAGGTCCTGTCCTGATCCGGAGGGTGGCACAGGACCCTGGTCGGTCCTTTGAGGATGGGTGAGCACGGGTAACTCACTGGCAGGTTATAATGGGAAACAACCGTAGCCTGGCTCCATTGATCACTGCAAGCTGGCTGGCGGAGGCAGCAGGGAACTCTGATGGGTGGGAATCAGCAGAGGCTGTCGACCCCCGCCAAGGCCTGCGCTCACAGCTCTCCCCCGTTCCCAAGCTTCGACACCTGCAGGACTATATCCATCTCAGTCCCGGAGGAGCCCGTGTGCATGAGAAAATACGACACACACCACATGTTCAGCTCTCCAGCCACAGGGGGCTCCTGAGGGCCCCTAACTGCCCCTTAGCTGGACTGTCAGGCCTGGGGTGGGGACGTGGGAGATGGCTTACAGATGAGGGTGGGGGCTGGGTGGGCAGTCCCTGTGGAGAATAAATGTCCACTGCGCCCCCGTCCACCACCGTCTGTCAGTGTGTCGTACTCTGGTGGCTTCTGTTGTTGAGATGCTGGGAGCTGGGGCACTGTGTTTCCAATACCGGCTGGATCCGGCTGGATTGACATTGACAGTGACAATGGGCTCAGACACAGCAGAGACGGTGAAGATGACGAGGGATTGAGCAGAGTTCTCTTCCCTTGCACCTGAAGTGACTTTAACTCCGAGCTGAGTGGACAGCAGCTAATAACAACAACACAGCACCAGACATCTCTTCCGGGAGAGGCTCTGGGGGAAGGACACATCGGTGAGGGTGGTCCCAGGGCTCCCTGGTCATATCTATACAATGGGGGCTGGGTGTGCAGGACACAGCCAGGCTCAAACAAGCAGACACTTTGTGAGCTGGGGAGACCGTATGGTGAGAGGTGCCCACCTGGCCCCTCCGGTAAACCTTCTCTTTCCCAAAAGCCCACGCGGTTGCCCCACCCAAGGTGCCCTCCTGGCTGGAAGACTTAGAACCATGGGTTGATCCATCCTCAAGTTCCTCCCTGGTCTCCACACAAGCCCACAGTCACCCCCACACCTGCTCACTTCCCCGTGGGGCCCCTCAGACTGGGGTTTGGGGGCAGACAATATGTGTGAGCTCAGCTCCCCAGAGAAGCTTCACTCTACTCGGAGCTGACACCGGCCCCCGAAGCCTTTAGAGCACCCAACCTTGTCCCATGCTGGGCTTGGAAGGTCTGGGGTCACGGAGGCTAGGTCCTGACCCCGAGATGCGGACAGCTATGTGGGGAGACAAGGAGGGTTCCTGGGGTTATGTGACCTTGGAGGAGCAGGGTGATACCATGTGAGCCCAGGACGTGGGTCCAAGTGACAGGGACTGTGCACACAAAGACCTGGGGACTTCTGAGGGCAGGTGGGCAGGTTGGAGGCTCCAGAGGAGAAGGGAGTGAGATGGAGGGGACTCTGGGAGGGGCTTGCCATGCAGAGGAGTCGCACCCTCTGGGGTCAGGGAGGTGCTGGCTGGTTTCCCAAGTTTCGCCTCTGGGAGATGCCAGCGCCCCTAATCTGTTTGTTGACTGGGGCAGACACATCCGGCTCCTACAGTGGAAGAGGTGCTCACGTAACCATGGGGAGCCAGGCTCTGGGAGAGGGGTTCCCACTGGGTCCCAAGCCTTGGCCTCCTCCTTCCAGTCTCCTCAGTGTAACCCTGAGCCCCAACCCTGGGGGTAGACAGACCTGGACAGGTCAAATCCCTTCTCTGGGCTTCGTGTCTCTCTGATGTGAACAGCGAAGATCCAGCTGCCTCCTCCTAACCTTTGTCAAGGCCTCAGCATGATTGGGGCGCCAGCAGGAAACAGATGGCTACCGGTCGATGGTTTATAGGGGTGTGGGCAGAACCAGGGGATAAACAAGAGAAGGTGGCCAGGGCCTGGCCCCAGGGGGGGATGTGGTAAATTCCTGCCTGAAGGGCCAGCAGGCGGGCCAGGATGGTGTTTCCAGGAAGCAGTGGTCCTGGGACCACAGGAGGAGGGGGCTGCCTGTGGAGGTGGGCAGGGAGGGTGCAGTGGTGCAGAACGGACTCAGCCTCTCTCCTCCAGCCCTCTGCTCTCCGTCTAATGCCACCCGGCCAAACCTGTCAAGGAGTCTGGGACTGCGGATCTGAGCAAGCTGTAATTGCTAACAACCTCCATCTCTTCTCCATCTATTATGGTCCTGCCAACTGGTCCAGTGGTGAGAATCTTTGTCTTCTTGATGTTGAACTTCAATCCATATTGAAGACTATAGCCCTTGACGTTTTGCAACAAGTGCTTCAGGTCCTCCTCAGTTTCAGCAAGAAAGGTTATGTCATCTTCATATTGTAGGTTGTTAATGAGTCTTCCTCCAAGCTTGATGCCACACTCCTCCTTGTAAAGTCCTCATAAGCTTCCTGAATGATCTGTTCTGCATCCAGATTGAAAACATATGATAGGACCCATACGTGACACCCTCCTTTCCTGATTTTGAACCATGCAGTGTTTCCTTGCTCTGTTCTGAGGACTGCTTTTTGGTCCAAGTTTCATATATGCATGATCAAGTGTTCTGAGATTCCCATTTTCCTCAAGGTTAGCCACAATTTATTATGATCCACACGGGCAAATGCTTTTGCATAGTCAATGAAACACAGATAGACATTCTTCTGTTACTCTCTGCTTTCTGCCAAGATCCACCTGATATTGGCAATAATGTCCCCAATACCATGGCCTCTTCTGAATCTACTTTGTATTTCTAGTAGTTCTCTGTCAACGTACTGTTCAAGTCTTTTCTGGATAATATTCAGCAGGATTTTGCTAGTGTGTGATATTAGTGATCTTGTTAGATAATTTCCACACTCTGTTAGGTCACCTTTTTTTGGAATGGGAATAAATATGGATCTCTTCCAGTCAGTTGGCCGGGAAGATGTCCTCCAGATTTCTTGGCACAACTTGGTGAGCACATGCAGAGCAGCATCTGTTTGCTGAAATACATCAATTGGTATTCCTTCAATTCCTGGGGCTTCATTTTTTGCCAAGACCTTCAGAGCAGCCTGCACTTCCTCCTTCATCACCATTGCCTCTTGCTCATACGTTGTTTCTTGAAATTCTTCTGTGTCAGCCAATTCTTTTTGGTACTCCTTCCATTTTCTTTTAATGCTTCCTGAATCATTCAATATTCTGCCCACAACATCCTTAAGCATTGCAACTTGCAGCTTGAATTTATTCTTTAGTTATTTCAGCTTAAGAAATGCTGAGTGAGTTCGGCCCTTTTGATTTTCTGACTTTAGATCCTTACACATTTCATTATAATATTTTGCCTTGTCATCCCGAGAGGCTCTTTGAAATCTTCTAGTCAGCTCCTTAACTTCTTGATTTCTTCCCTTTGCTTTGGCTTCTCAGTGCTCTAGTACGATATTCAGAGTCTCTTATGATATCCATTTTGGTCTTTTCTTCCTCCTTCTTTGTAATGACTTTTTGCATTCTTCATGAACAATATTCTTGTTCTCTTCCCACAGCTTACCTGGTCTTCATTCGTTAGTGTTCAAGGCCTCAAACCTATTGCTGAGTTGGTTTTCAACTTCATGGGAGATAGACTCAAGGTCAAATTTTGTTTCATGTAGATATGATTTAAGTTCTTTAGTTCTTAAGTTCTTCTTTAGTTTTAATTTGAACTTGCATATGAGCAGTTGATGGTCTGTTCTACAATCAGCACCTGGTCTAGTTTTCACTGCTGATACTGAACTAGTCTATGCCAAAAAATTTGCTAGACTGATCCCTCATCAAGCCACTGGAAGAGACTCATATTTTGGCCCATTCCAAAAGAGGTGATACAGCAAAATATAGAAATTATCAAACAATATCAGTATCACATGCAAGTAAAATCTTGGTTAGGATTGTTCAAAAATTCATGGAGCAATACATTAGCATAGCACTGCCAGAAATTCAAGGTGGATTCAGAAGAGGTCATGAAAGAAGGAATATCATTGCTGATGTCAAATGTATCTTGGCTGGAAGGAGAGAATACCAGAAAGATATTTACTTAACTTTTGCTAACTCTGGAAAGGGATTTAATTATGTAGACTATAATAAGTTACCAATAACATTGAGAAGAATGGGAATTCCAGAACACTTAATAATGCTCACGTGGAAATTGTGGGTACACACACACAAAAAGCCTTTTGAACAGAATAAGTGAACAGTGCATGGCTTCATATCAGGAAAGGTGTGTGTCAGTATTGTGTACTTTTATTACACTTATTCAGTATGTATGCTGAGCAAGTAATTTGAAGAATTGGACAATGTGAAGAATGTGGCATCAAGTTTGGAAGAAGACTCATCAACAACCTGCGTTATGAAGAGACAATACAACCTCTTTACTGAAGGTGGAAAGGACTTGAAACATTTATTGAAGAAGATCGAAGACTAAAGCCTTCTGTATTGCTTATACCTCAACATCAAGGAAGCAAAAATCCTCACAACTGAACCAATAAGAATAACGGATACAGAAAAGGTTGACGCTGTCAGGGATTTTCTTTTACCTGGATTCACATCAATCTCCATGGAAGCCACAGTCAAGAAATGAAAGAACATGTTGCATTGGGCAAATTGGTTGCTCTTTAAAAGGTAAAGGTTAAGGATATTCATTTTAAGTCCAAAGTGTGTTTTGACCTAAGTCATGACATTTTCCATCGCTTTCTATGTCTGTGAGAGTCGGACAATGGATGAGAAAGAACAAACAAGGATTGAAGCCTGTGAATTGTGATTTGGAAAACGATTGACGATCCCACGGACTGACTACGAAGAAGTCTGTTTTGGAAGAAGAGCAGCATGAGCTGGTTCGGGTGCGAGCTGTCGCCCTCATAGACTTCAGCTGTGTTGTCAGGAGGGGACCAGTCTTTGGAAAATGACATCCTGCTTGGAAAAGGAGGCCAGTGAATGAGGTGGATTTACACAATGAGTGCAACAGTGGGCTTAAGCGTCGAGGGTGGAGATTGCGAGGCTGTCTCAGGATTGGACAGGACTTTGTTCTGTTTGTTGCACGTAGGTACAGTAGGGGTTGGAAACAACTTGATGGCACCAAGCCTTTTATTCCAAGGCATCTCTGGCAGGACCTGAACTGCTAACCTTTGAGTTAGGGGTGCATATCATTTGCAGCCCTCAGAGCCTATTTCATGTCTAGAACCTTGGCTAATCTTTGAGTTAATCTCGCGGCTAATGTCTTGTTACAGATGAAGAAGCAGAGGCCTGGTGTGGTAAGTGCCAGGAAAGTGGGAAACACTGGGATGGGAACTCGGCTGGGGATGGGAGGCGAGAGGGAGCAGAGAGATCTCTGAGCCAGTCGGGAAGGTGGAAGGGGGCACTGTAAGTTGTTGTTATGTG